TGTCCCGGAGAGAACTGCTTGTCGGGCAGGCAAGAAACAACACACAGAGAACTGCAAAGAAGGTCGTGCAAGCGAAGTACACTCTGTAAATAAATGAGTATGGTAGCATCATCTGACAGTTCCTTATCCATGTTTCATTTGAGGTAGACAAACAAAAGAATCTCTCCGCTAATACGGTTTTTATCGCTGGAAGGAATAAAACATACGACGATACAGTGAGAACAAGGAAGACCATGAGATAAACTAAGTGAACCGATGTGAAAGACTCTCCAGTCGGCGGTCCAGGTCCGAACAAGGACATAAAATGCAAACGTTTTGAAAATGGTTTTGGGCATTTCCCAGCTAGAGTTGAGTTCATCCTATCTTTCTTTGAATCTTTATCTTTGGTTTTAGCTGAGTTTTCATCAGGGTCATGTATTCCTTGTGCGCTTATTTCCTCTCCGAGTTGCTCCATAAAAATGGCGAAATCAGCAATTTCGCATCTAGAATCAGGTCGATGTGTGTGGCTCAAAGTTGCGGTCTCGTGCTAAATCTGCCTACGTTCTTTTTTTGTATCCTACAAGTTTCCGGCCGCATCCGCAAGGTAACATTTCAATTTACCAGATTCCAATTTTTCATACACGTAGAAAGAAAATCAAACGACAGGCATGAGAACTGTTTTATTATGATTTCAATTTCGCTCGCGTCATTCACAAAATAACTCCGTGTATTTCCTCACGCTCCAATTTGCTGTTTGCAATATAATTTTGAGATAAACTGTTCATAACTAAGTCAACATGGAAATTCTCTAAATGACATCCTTGTACATTTCTTTAATTACTTTTGAGAATATAGCTTCACATCAACACCGTAGCTCTTACTTGATGGTGTTCTTTACTCTCTCTACCTTCCTGCCTTATAGTGATCTGATAATCTAAAGAGAAAATAGATTTTAATAGAATTTCACATCAACGAAAATAACACTGATGTATATGGCGTTTACTGGTGGTAATTTCGCCACCTGCTTTGAAAACCAACCACAACAAGGAAAGGTACTGGCTTTGACTGTTCAATAAGTCTTATCTCTACAAGGAAATGTGTTAATCTTTATCTTAGAATTTGCCCTCGATTGTTGGTCGAGCCTCATTATATCGGATTGGAATTGCAAGCACTAATCGATAATTGTGGCAACGTTTAATTTTATTTCGCGTTCTGTCGTTGCAAGGTCCAGAACCAATATTTGCACGTTCCGAAAATTTGGAATATTTCGAAAAATCCTTCCGCTTGCCAATAACGATAAGTCTTAACTCCGTAATCAGGTTACTTTAAATCTAATCTTGCCACTACTTCATCTCAAGACACTGGGATTTAAGGAAACGAACGACGCTGTCGAGAAGGTCAAAGGGACGGTCGAGGGACTCGTGCTCATAATGTTAATTGCGTTTTCTGCTTTAAGCGATCTTTTTATCTTATTTTTATCTTACTTTAATTATCCCATTAACAAACGAACAGACAACAGAAATATTGTCCGTAGTCCGTGTTTTATACTCCGCCCGCCTTTTATACCCAGTTAACAGGCGGCAATCCAAAGTCAGTGTGTTACTAATAATGGTGGGCATGTTATGGTTTAGACTGTTCACAGTCCCCCAGTTTTCCTGAAGATTTTTCGAGATCTAGCGCTTACCCTGGCGTCTATGTTAGGTTCAAATGTAGTGTAACGGAGAGTTATCAAATCTATTTAAGGGGCGGGAGACAGCGGGACGGGTTTAGGAAGAGGCAAGAACCACTGTATTCTTGACACCCGCCTTTAATGGTATATTTGAAACCAATGGTTGCCGCACTTAACGTTAAGAGGCCAATCTTGACCATTTTATAGGAAGATAGAGGACTTTGAGTGATGGGTGGTTCAGTGGCTAATGTTTCATTTTGTTTTAGATGTTTATACTGTTCTACTCTTTTTGAAGTATTATATATCGGTGTATTTCACGGGAGCTGAGCACAATGGAAGTGAATCTTGGTGCTCCGTAACTTTCTTTATTTCTCTTCCATTTCTTGAGTGTTTTCTACGTGTTTTTTGTTGTTGTTGTTGTTGTTGTTGTTGTTGTCGTTGTTGTTTTTTTGTTTACGTATCGTGTTAAGATCTGGAACTCAGTTCCACCCTCAATAAATCTACTTAGCCGAATATCGGATAGTGATCGAGAGTTTACTTGAAGACTTCCTGCAGTCTGAAGATGACTATGTTGAAGTCCCCCGCCTTATTGAACTTTTCTCTTCCCTGTCATCTTTACCTTCACAGTTATTTAGCTCTATTACCATAATATTTTAAGAATTCTCTTTCTCCTGTTTATAGTGTTTTTCTCTTATTTACAGTTAATTTAATTATCGGTTAAATTATGGTGAGTTTTCTTTCTTTTCTTTCATTGTTCTTTTCCCTTGTTTTCTTTCTTTGCTATTTTTGTGTGTGAGTGTTTGTGTGTTATTTCTTATAACAATTTATTTCTCGCGGAGCGAGTTTATAATTTTGTCGCGCGCGCAGCATTTTTCTCTCTCCCCGCCGCGTGTCGCCTTTTCTCGCGTGGGGTAATTTTCACGCGCGCTCGCGTTTCGCTCACTCTATTATCCCCGAGGGAAAATGGGGGACTACTCGTAGTCTAAATAACAGCAGGCTGCAAACACAACAGTGCCCAATTGGACCAGTGGCTGGAAATCCTTGCCGTGGAAGGTTTAACACCGAAAGAACGGTGATCTGAACTTCAGCGAGAGCAGCGAAGAAGAAGACCAGTCCGTTAATCGAACGGCCTATATAAAGCCCGAGAGTGAATAAACACGGAAAAAAATGCGAAATGGTTTTGAAATACTCGTTTGAGCTATTTTTGCTCAAATGTATCTTTGAATTCATGATAAATACATCTCCATAAGCTTCAAACAGTGTGAATGGCAGAGGAAATTACTTCAACGCTATTAATTTCGATAGAAAAATCGGCCCTTTGGTCGCATGGCCCAGTGGTAAGGGGCCGCACTTTTTCGCTGTAGGAAGTTGGGGTGCAACTAGGTTCAAACTCCGACGCCACTACTCCCTTTTTTTTTTTTTTCTTTCATCGTTTTTTTACCCTTTGGTTTTTTACTGTTTCTCACTGCTGAACCCGTTAGCTTCGCGAGATTTTTGCGAAAACATATTTCTAGTTGTAAATATAATTGTAAACTCTTATTGTCCTGCCTAGAAAAGCATTTTTGCTAATTGTGTGAAGAAGGAAACCGTAACTTGTTGCATGAAATTCATTCAATTTAATTCCAGCTTTATAATCTTCGCTTGTGTTGTACTTAATATAAAAATCGTTCTTCTTCTTCTGCTTATTTATTTATTTATTTATGGTTTTAAGCAATTCAATCCTTTCTCTTTTTCTTTATCCGTTTTCTTATCCGTTCAGTTGCCGTGCATTGCGTGAGAGGTAACAAAATAAAATGATATTAGTTCGCAACAAAATCAGTATACTTAAAAAATGTCACGAATATCTTTGTTCACCAAATAAAAGTCATCAAAAGACGGTGGCAGGAATAGAAGAACTATTTTTTTTGTTAGTAGTGTATGGGAAAAGATTATTTGCGTTGTTAACACTGGTATTGATATTAAGGAAGAGGAAGAGACGAGAACCACTGTATTCTTGACACCCGCCTTTAATGGTATATTTGAAACCAATAGTTGCCGCACTTAACGTTAAGAGGTCAATCTTGACTATTTTATAGGAAGATAGAGGACTTTGAGTGATGGGTGGTTCAGTGGCTAATGTTTCATTTTGTTTTGTATGTTTATACTGTTCTACGCATTTTGAAGTATTATATATCTGTGTATTTCACGGGAGCTGAGCACAATGGAAGTGAATCTTGGTGCTCCGTAACTTTCTTTATTTCTCTTCCATTTCTTGAGTGTTTTCTACGTGTTTTTTGTTGTTGTTGTTGTTGTTGTTGTTGTTGTCGTTGTTGTTTTTTTGTTTACGTATCGTGTTAAGATCTGGAACTCAGTTCCACCCTCAATAAATCTACTTAGCCGAATACCGGATAGTGATCGAGAGTTTACTTGAAGACTTCCTGCAGTCTGAAGATGACTATGTTGAAGTCCCCCGCCTTATTGAACTTTTCTCTTCCCTGTCATCTTTACCTTCACAGTTATTTAGCTCTATAACCATAATATTTTAATGCTAGTAGTGTATGGGAAAAGATTATTTGCGTTGTTAACACTGGTATTGATATTAAGGAAGAGGAAGAGGCAAGAACCACTGTATTCTTGACACACGCCTTTAATGGTATATTTGAAACCACTGGTTTCAAATATTGATATTAAATGATATTTCTGGTATTGATATTAAATGACAATAGCTTCGATACCCTGACCGTGAAACAATGTGAAATAATGATAAACGATGATGTGTTATTGTATTCTGCGACCAATGAGGACAGCTTGCGAGCAGCTCCCACATTACTGGCTGTGGTTGGAGTTATTGACTTACGGCAATCTGTTACTTAAAGTGGTAGCGTTGTAGCGAGTCCGAAGAGGGGTGACAATTTATTTGTCAGTGAATTACTGAAATACCGAATTGCAGTGCTTTTAATAGTCAGTTTCGACAGCAAGCCGAAGGCTAACAACTACATTTAGACCCAAAAAGCTGAAGGCTTTTTCAATTAAGGGGAAACCTTTTAAAAAGGCTAATTAAGGTAAAGCGCTGTAACTCAAACAAAGATGGTAGTCTTCCCAGTACTTCCCAGTTATTATGTCTTCGCATTGGGGATCTTTGCTGCTTTTCCAAGTCGTTCTAAAGGTAAAACGTTTCCTTCTATTGCAGACCATGTTGTTAATAAACAAGTTCATTAGGAACATATTTGAAGTTCATTCCTCAAGCTAACATATTTGTGTCCTCCTTTCTCTTGAAAAGCTTTCAGCCAAGGGTCGATCGGTGGCCTGTTTTATGTCAACTTCATGATCGATCAATTTTCCTACCTGAGTATCACAAGTATTGGACGGAGCCTTATTGAAGACGAAAACGATTGTGGCTACGCCTGTCTAGAAATTCCTTCGTGTTTTTCTTACAACGTTGCTGCCTTCCCTGACGTCAACAGGAAATTGCTGTGCGAACTCCTGCCATCTGATAAGTATAACAACTCAGACAAGTTCAACGCCAGTAAAGAGTTTCATCACTTCTTTATTCCGGTGAGTGAAACTTCTAAGTTTGACCCTCCACGAAATTTCAGGGAATAAGGTGATGTACGGACACAGTAAAATGACACGCTAATCAACAGGGAGTGTGCAAAATGACACGTTAGCGTGCGAGTAGTGTGCCATCAGGCACGTTTAATTAACATTTTCGTTTTGGGTAAACACAGAGAATCGTGTCCTATGAAACAACGCAGTGCTGGCTGAGCTAAATGACACGCTAGTAAGCATAATGACACGCTAATGAACAAAATGGCACGCTAGCTAGTGTGCAAAATGACACGTTAAACACCAGCCGTGTCTACTGTTTTCAACTTACCGAGTTGTCGCACAGTGCGGTGTCCGTTTTGTCTGTAAGCCAAGATATAGTTCAAGTAAAATAGAATGAACCCACACACGCGACCGACAAATGTGCCTTCGTAATCTGCCACACGCCGAAAAACGAACCAAAATTTCGATCGTGAATTTTTCCATGAATTCAGTTTCCCGTTCTGAGTTTCCAGAAACCAGTAATTTCGAATAATCAGCACTCGAAAGGATTTCGAGAAAACTATTTAGTTCTCGAGAAAAATATCACAACCCTTCGCGCGTACAGCGATTTGCACCTGCCGACAGCGCTTTATACAAGTAAGATTTAAACGAAGTTGAGTTAAAGTTTTGAGGCGATAAAAAAGGACCAACATAATTTTTTTTTTTTTTTTACTTTGAATTTTGGAAATTGACTTTATATTTTTGTATTAAGTCTATCTCGGACGTCATGGAGGCGAATTTCAAGGCAAGTGCTTCCTTGTTTACTTAAGCAGCGAAAAGTCTTTCCCTACGCTCGACGAGCACACGTTTTACGATTTTGTTTCAAGAAAGTAGAATGAGTAGGGAATTTTGTCGTTCGTTCATTGGAAGTATAGGTTTTAGGCGCCCGTCCGTGCTCCCTGTTTAAAAATTTAGCCGCCCGCGAGCAAATCGTAGGCGGCAAGTTTGTTTGCCTCCAGTGAGCCCGAAAATCACACTAGAAAAGGAAAAGAAAAAGATGGAAACAGGAGGAGAAAGAAAGGAGGGAAAGAAAAAAAAAGCAATGGCTGCATTCTTAGTTTTTAAGTTAAGTTCTTTGAAGATAGCATTTGAAAGAGAAAAAACGGCCTGATGGGAGAGATATATTTTGGCTGTCAAGTTATGATTACCCATTCAGCTAGGCAGAAATCTGATAAACAAAATAATACATTTAACATGTCACAGCTAATAGTTAAGTAACGGCTTTCGTTTTTTTTTTTTTGGTTTTAAGATTTAAAGCCTTACGACTAAATTTGTCGGAATTTTAAAGCTAACAGTTCTCTCTATTACTTTGGTTTTCCTTCAGTGGAGATGGTCTTCCTGTGCAATAGTCAACTGTGTTTAATATTTATTATTTTTGAAAAACCATGGCGAGCTTAGACCCCTTAGCTTCACAGGCAGATTTTGCAGCGGTCCAGCTCAAACTCTTTGACGAGAATTGGTAGCAGGAACCTTGTAGATGAATCCTGTTATCAGGACAAATCCCTACAAGTTTGGAAAGTCAAAAGTAAACATGGTGATGGGTCAATTTATCCTACCACTTTCTTTCTTGCTGATCAGTTTCAATCTCTTAACGTCTTCGCACGTGAGGATGTTGTGTTGTGTTGTGTCTGTGTAGATATTCAGTTTTGGCCAGCTCGGGGCACGCTGCCACAATATGGTCAATAGTTTCCTGAAATTGACCACAAATTCTGCACATTGGGGCTGTACCATCTTTTAGCATCCTACTACGATAGTGGTTGGTGTTGATGGCCTGATCTTGGGCAGCAATGACAAAGCCGTCTGTTTCGGACTTAAGCCCAGCTTTCTTAAGCCATTGGTTGGTCATTTGATGGTCCACATCTTTCTGCTTTACGGTTTTTGGGTATTGCCCATACATTGGTTTATCTTCCCATTTTTTTGTTTCAATTGATCTTGGGCATGAAGCTTTGCTTTCTGTTTAACTTTTCTGGGATAGACAGTTGGAGCTTCGTTCTCAGGTTCCAGTGTTTCAGAGAGGCTGAGCTCTCTTCTTAACATTGTAGCCTGGCTAGGTACGGAGTACTTTTTCTTTGTTCTTTTTCTGTTTTATTTTGTTTTGTTTTGTTTTTGTTTTTTTCATGCTCTTTAGCAATCACGAGAAGGGGGTCATTTTTGGTGTTAAAGCAAGTATCTAAGCGTACTGTAGCTGTTTTATGGGCCGTTTCCAGTTGGATCAGGCCCCTGTAACCCTCATTTCTAGGAAGGTACATTCTATCCATGTCAGCTTTTGGGTGTGGTGCGTCCTTTGTAAGGTCACTAATTTTCTCGTTTTTCTATCTAGTTGTCTGATCTCTTCCATTTTCCAGTCAACGATGTTAAAGCTGTAAGCTACGAGTGGTTTGTTTATGGCTTCCACTCTATTAACTGCATTGAGCTCAGATTTTGTTACCATTCGTATTCTGCGATAGTACTGCTTTCTAATCTTTCCTTTCATTTTGGCGTGTTGTATCCCGTCCCCTTCATTCACTCCCAGGTATTTGTATGTACCTTCTTGTTCCAATTCTTGGATGGTGGTGTCAAGCTCAGTTTGGATGTCTTCCGAGGTGAATGTCGTCAGTGAAACCTTTTACGATGGTGAGAAGGCCAGTCTGTTCTTGGTCATTTTTTTTCCAAATGTTTTCAGGTCATCCATTTAGAATAAGTGATTGATAGTACACGTACTTAGCTTCTAGTATAACAATGACTGGTGCTGTTGAGAAGAGCGGATAGTGAAGCAATGATGATGTTGATCTGTCTTGAATGTAGCGTCCCTTCTGCGTGGTTTAAGATAAGGGTTGTTTTGCGGTGGGCCATATTTGCTGCTAGGAACTAGATGAGGTTTGGTGATATTTTGTAGATGTCAAGGCATTTTAATATCCAGTCATGGAGTACAGAGTCACACGCCTTTTTGTAATCTATCCAGGCTGTTGACAGATTTTTTTTCTCTTTTTCTTTCTCAATAATGGTACTTGTTTATTTAAAGCTGATCTTTGCAGCCATAGCTTCCTTTTCGACAGCCCTTTTGTTCAATGGGTAGCAGGTGTTTTTTATCAAGATGTTAGTAAACTCTTTCTGTGATGATGGATTTTAATATATATAATTGGTTGTGGGAACGCATGTGATGGGGCGACAATTGTTAGGATTTTTAGTGTCTTCTTTTTTGGGAAGCAGATAAGTGGTACCAGTTGTTAGCTAGCCAGGACAGATTTCAGGATTGCTGAGACATTCATTGTAAACATTTGTCAGGTCCTGGTGTAAGGAAGGCAAGTTCTTGATCCAGAAGTTTGCTATCTCGTCCTTACCAGGAACTTTCTAGCTACTAGCTTTCTCAATTGCTGTTTTTGTTTGTTCTAGGGTTATTTGTGGCGATACTTGATGATTGACTTCAGTAATCGCAGTTTCTATTTGGGTGAGCCAGTCAGCGTTTTTGTCGTAGCTCTTGTTTTTCGAAGATGTTTCTCCAGAAGCTCTCTACTTCATCAATTTTGGGTGGTGCTTTGATCTCAGTAGACTTTTCCCCTAGTTCTCTATAAAATGTCTTTGCATTTTCTCTGTAAGTTTTGTTCTGGTGGAAAAACTTCCTTCTGTTTTCAAATCGCCCAGTGATTCTGTAACAGCAGAGGCAGTTGCATACGCAAGATGGTTGGTATCTGTGAGATATTGCCGCATATTGCTCATTGGTCTGGTTGCTGGCTTTGTTTGCTGTGTCACTCATGTTTTATTTTTGGAATTGGCAGCCTCTTACTTATTGGTGTTTCCTTGGCTATTTCATGTCTTTATTTCATGATGTTCACAGACTTATCTTGTGTATCTATGTTCAGTGGTTCTTGTGCATCAGATTCATTATTTTTGTCATTTTCCTGATTTTTATTTGCATTTTGCTTCTCTGGCGCTACACTCGTACCTCTTGTAAGAGGTGTAGTATTTTGATTTTTCTGCTTCACACTTTTCTGGATGGCTTGCAGCTCCATTTTGGTCAGTCGTTCGCTACTGGAAATGTCACGACGGAAATTTTCCAGTTTGTTGGCATTTAAGTTGAGCCTCTTGGTGATGTTATTAGCGCGCAATATGTCGTAGGTGCCTTGAGTAATAGATGTTTTGGGATTAAGGGAAGCAGTGTAAAAAGCTTCCATGACTCCTCTGTACTCTTTCCTAGACTATTCTTGTCGACTTGCTTTAGGGCAATTGTGAGATGGTGCAATATGAGGGCCACTTTCAGGGGTGTGGAAATCCTCAGGTGCATGATGGGAAATAGTTTGTTCCAGTAATAGATTTTTTGACTTCAGCCTGGTTCCCTACTGAGGGACGCGCCCCTTGTTTACCCGCACGACGACCGACCGAATTTTTATCCATGACTTGCCACGTTTTATCATTAGTTGAGGTTGGTTTTTATTCAGAATGTCATTCTCCCAGGTGGGCTGTCAACCAAGACTAAGGAGCCCCTCCTACCCCTATGTTGTAACCCTAGCTGGGGTGGCTTAGGGGCTGCAGATACTTGCTAAAGGTATCACCCCAGACTCTGGTGGGTGGAAGCGTCCACATTCCCGTGGTATAGGTTAAGGCTCTAGCCTGTCCTACCCCCGTAATAAAGGATTAAATTAACTGCAAAACTGTGGACGAAGATCCTGTTAGTTGTAAACGTTGGATCTCTAGAAAAGAGATCTAATCAGCCAAAATATAAAGAACCAAGAACGAGAAGTCCAAAGACTAGTACAAAGCTGATTTAATACAAAGTGTATAGTTTTTTATAACAATATTTCGGCTGGCCATACCAGCCTTCTTCAGGTTTACAGATGTTACTAAACTTATGTAGCAATCACAATATTATATAGACTGGAGTGGAGTGGTTATATATCCCTTGGAGTGATTATATATCTTGGAGTGAGTGAGTCGCAGCATTGGATTGAACAGCTATGAACAACAGCTCTGAACCCAACCCAGCCACTACAGACTCCCTGATAAAGAAACTAAGCTACAATTCAAAGAAATCCACATTTACGTGGCGAGGTTCCTTTGATGAGTTGAAAATCTTTTGCTTCGAACATTTAGAAATGGATTCCACCACGAGCTCGATAACTCAAAATGAGCAAAGAAAATCGATAAAAGCAAAATCCTTGACAGTGAATTATTACAGGACTGGGACGTTACAACTTCAAGGAAACAACGTTCAATCAGCAAAGGATAAACTTCCCGCAGCTATGGACGGTGGTCAAACCAATTGTGACCCGAACGATGAAAGCGGAGTTTTTGTCACCGACCGCCATGTTGTTGTGGACGACGACAAATCACAAGTGGACACTCCTGAACTCTCAGAGACATCCAGCAACGAAACGGACCACTTTATGTAACCTATCTCCCCTCATTCTCTTGACGTAAATATTCTGAGTCTAATTAACGATCTAAGGACTGAGGTAACCAAACTTTGGAGCTGTGTGCAATCGACGCAAAATGCAAATAACTCGAAGACTTTGCAAGAACTTGATGCTGTCAAGAACGAGAACCACACCTTACAACAAGAATTACAAGCCGCTAGAGTTCACTACACCGAGCTACAGAAAGAATTAAAAGCTATTCGAGAAGAAAGAGATTCATTGAATCTAGCGCTTCAAATAGTCTCCAAAGATTTGTATCACAATTCATTTGCCAAGCAACCCGACAACTCCCGCGTTGACACGGAGTACCAGGATGCTCAAGATTTTTTTTTTGGTGGGAAAAAAGAAGAAGACTGGTGACCAACAAAACCAGCCTTCGGCAGAGACAAACCTAGACGGGAGACATTCGCAATCCAAGACGTCGTCATCATGCCAATTAAATACAGAGCGAACAAAAGGAACTCAGGTGCTGGCCGTAGTACTCAACGCAAGCATAGAGAGGTGTTCTTGGTTGGTGATTCCATCCTAAAGAACTTGTAAGGGAGGAAAATGTCAAGTAGTGCTAAGGTCAAGATTTTTCCTCTTTTCCAGGATGTTCCACACAGGACATGAGAGATCACATTAGACCTATTTTACGGAAAAACCCGGACGAAACTGTACTTCACGTCGGTACCAATAGTCTTCGCTCATCCACATCCGCGCGCGAATGTGCTGAGGAGATCGTTAATTTAGCCCACATGATAAGCGACGAATCTTCGGCTAAATTGTCGATTTCTAGCCTTGTGTCTAGAGCAGACAAGGAGGCCCTTGGTGTTAAAGTCTCTGGTGTAAACAAGATACTAAGGAAATTCTGTAATCAAAATTACTGGGGCTATGTTGACCATTCCAACATCTCCGCCGACCACGACTTAAATAGAAGCGGTCTCCACTTGAATGCGAAAGGAACTGCTCGACTGGCTTCTAACTTTATTAAATTGTTAAAATTAAGAGGAGATTAGAATACTGTCGAGCGGGAGTCCGACGAGGGTATGCTTTCCAGGGAGTCCTGCAAGTACACTTTTAGTAAGGGTAAGCCATCAAATTTTTAAATTCATTCGGTCTTGGTTTTGTCTTGGCATCGCTTAACATAAACAGTTTACTCGCTCATATTGACGACCTTAGGATATTTGTGACTGATTCCAAAATTGATATACTAGCAATCAATGAGACAAAACTAGACAGTTCCATTGGTGACTCCGAAATATCTCTACCAGGATTGGAAGTCGTTAGGAGGGATCGTCCGGTGAATGGGAGATGCGGTGGTGGTGTTTGTATATATTTACGAAACAACATAAATTATCATGTACGGCATGACTTAAGTGATAACCAACTCGAATGCCTTGTTATCGAAATTACTAGACCGCATTCTAGACCCTTTTTAGTAAGTACGTGGTACCGACCTCCAAGTTCCTCACAGGACATTTTTAGTCGATTTGAAATCCTGGTGGATTTGAAATCCTGTCGTTCATCTTGGGATTAGCGATCACTCACTGGTTTTTATGACTATAAAAATACGTTATGAACGTGTTGGCACGCACCGTACTATCGAAACTCGTGATTACAAAAAAATTGACAGCGACAAATTTTTAAATGACCTTGTTCAACAGCCATGGGATTTAATTAGCTTAGAGCCAAATCCAACTGCTATGTGGGATGCGTGGAAAACCCTGTTCATGGAAATTGTCGATAAACATGCCCCACTGAAAACAAAGCGGATCTCAAAAAAGCATTCTCCGTGGATTACATATGACCTGATGCGTAAAATCTATAAACGAAATTGTTTAAAAAAGAAAGCTATTATTGAAAACAATGCGGCTAGTTGGGAACAATACAAGCAAGCGCGGAATGAAACTAACAATGCTGTCAAATCAGCCAAACGTCAGTATTTTTTGCACAACTTAGAGTTGAACAAAAAGAATTCTTCCAAAACTTGGAAGCTAATTAACGGACTGAGCTCGCGTAAATCTTGCACAAACCGCAATATCACTGAAATTAAAACAGATAACGAAACTATAAATTCTGCGCCTGAAATTGCGGAAGCTTTTAATAACTTTTTCACATCTATTGGACCAAATCTAGCCAGTAAATTATCACCTTCTAATATCGACCCTGAAAGTTATTTACAGCCCACTAAAACAGCCTTCTCCTTAAGGGCTCTTAGTGTCACAACTGTGTGTGAGCTACTAAGTCAGCTCGACGAAAAGAAAGCCATGGGATTGGACGGAGTTCCTTGTAAACTTCTAAAATTAGCCAGTTCCATTATTGGACCATCATTAACGAAAATTTTTAATAGCTGTATAGAAACAGAAACCCTTCTAGATGAATGGAAAATCGCCAAGGTGACTCCTATCTTTAAAAAAGGATCAAAATCTGACCTGAATAACTATAGACCAATTTCTGTATTGCCAATTGTCTCAAAGCTATTCGAGAAAATTATCTATCAACAACTCTACGATTACCTAGATAAAAACAAACTCTTGAATACTTATCAATCCGGCTTTCGATCGCTCCATAGCACCATGACGGCGCTACTTGAATCAACGAACAACTGGTCTATTAATATAGATAACGGCCTTTTAAATGGTGTGGTATATATCGACCTTAAAAAGGCTTTTGACACCATTGACCATGCAATTTTGTTACGTAAACTTGCAAACTATGGACTTGATCTGGGTTCCCTACGATTCTTTGCCTCCTACCTAGGTAACAGGAGCCAGAAATGTTATGTTAATGGCGTATTGTCCAGTGCAAGCGAACTAAGATGCGGAGTCCCACAGGGTAGTATTCTCGGTCCTTTGTTCTTCTTAATCTATATAAACGATCTTCCAAACTGCCTTAATTCAGCATGCGCTAAAATGTTCGCAGATGATACAACAATTACCATTTCTGGTTCCTCTCTAACTGACCTTGAACAAGAGACTAACCTAGAACTACTGAACCTTCACTGTTGGCTAAAAGCCAATAAGCTTAGTCTTAATGTTGCGAAAACCGAGTTTATGGTTATTGGCTCTCGCCAGAAGCTTCTTGCGGAAAGCCATAACGAAATAAACATCAAACTAGAAGACCAAGTTATCAGCAATGTTGATCACGCAAAATCATTAGGTCTCATTATCGACAATCGGCTTTTTTCCTGGTCTAATCATGTTAACGAATTGTGTAAGAAGGTAACTTCGGCTATAGGTGCCCTTAGACGTATCAGGCCCCTTATCTCCCAATCTACTACGGTACTAGTCTATAACTCCTTAATTCAACCTCACTTTGATTACTGTAGCCTCGTTTGGGATGGCTTAAGTGATCAACTGAGTGACTAATTACAAAAGTTACAAAACCGTGCAGCTAGAGTAATTTTAAAGGCCAACTATGGGACTAGCTCGAGCCTACTTCTTGATATACTCAAATGGGACAAATTAGTTATAAGGAGAAAGAGGCATAAAGCAATAATGATGTTTAAATCTCTAAATGAACAAGCTCCAGTGTACTTGCAGAACCTATTTCACGAGTGAAGCACAGACTATGATTTGCGCAATTCCTTTCATAAATTGACGTTGCCCAGGCCGCGTACTAACTACTTGAAACGAAGTTTCAGTTACAGCGATGCTTTGTTGTGGAACTCTTTACCCGAAAATGTGAGAGAAATCAAATCAGTGAGCAAATTTAAAAAGCAAATCAATCATCTATTCGAGTCGTCGGACTCTCACTCGGCAGTCTTGTAAAACAGTATGTCGATAGTTTTTAGTCTAATTAATTGTAATTAGATTTTTACTCTATTATTACTGAAGATTTTACCGAGTTTTAAATAAAGAATCTAGCTACCTATCTACCTACCTACCTACCTACCTACCTACCTAGATGGTGAATTTCGCAATAAAAATTGTAATAAATACCCTTGTGCCCTATCATCATCATCATCAGCAGCAGCAGCATTATCATCGTCATCATCATCATCATCATCATCATCATTATTATTATTTTTATTATTTATTCATTAATCTTTTTTGTTTTTTTTACTCTACTTTATTTTATTAGTATATTTCGGAAAATAAACTTGCTTCTTGCTGAAAATAGTGAAAATTCATAGAGCACCCAGCCTCGAATAAGTGCTCACTCTCAAGGACAAAAAATTCAATGACTGCTCAGAGCGCTTGACTGAATCATCGCGTTAAGCTGAGAAGGGGCGGCCTTAATCAGGACTCGCGATAAGGGGTCTAACATGCCTTTCTTTCTACAGTCTTCTTGTGACAGTTCGCCCTGTAAGAACACTGGCAAATGCATTCCCTTGTACCAGGAAAATGGATATACGTGTATCTGCGTGGAAGGATTCACGGGACGAAACTGCGAAAAGAGTAAGCAATACTAAGAAATACTTTTTGTCGTTTCGCTCTTGTTTTGCTGCCCCTGTTTTGCTGTTCGATTCATATTAATGAATTAATGTACTACACAGGCTGAGTATACAGTTTGCTTTGATCATGTCTCCCGCTTATATAGACGAGTGTAAGAGCAGTCCCTGTTTAAACAACGGAACATGTACTGACCGAATCAATTCATTCAGCTGCAATTGCCCCCCAGGATTTGTCGGGAATCGATGTGAAAGTGGTTAGATTAGTCTTTAAGCTGAAATTTTCCATTGCTTATCCTCTATCATAAACGAGTGTCCTTTTTTAAAGCGTCTTCCGATATTATTGTGTTACAGACATAGACGAGTGTAAGAGCAACCCTTGTCTCAACAACGGAACTTGCACTGACAGAGCCAACGGATTCAACTGCAGTTGTCCAGCTGGATTTGCTGGGAAGCGATGTGAAATAGGTGGGAAAAAGGAGTGATAAATAGAGCTGAAAATTATAAGTGTGGATATATCATGTGTAACTCATGGGAAAAAAAATGAACCAGTTGGTTGTATTTGACAGGTTGTCATCTACATGTATAAATAGTCCATTTCCGAGTTGTCCCAAGCCTCCGTTTCAAAGTGAGGCTAAGTACGAAGCCATTGTCATGAAAATGATTTCTTATTCTCATGCAAGTAAAACTCATTTTCACAAGAGAGGTTTTGCACTAAGCCTCGTTTTGAAAACTAGATATTTTGGAACTCGGAGATGGTCTATTCTTTCCGTTTTTAGGTGTGGTGGTTAGAAAGCAATTGTTTAAGATAATCACAACTGAGCTGTGCCTGAAGTTAAGTTCCGTTTACGTACACTGTTTAGCGTGTTATCCCGACTTAACGCCGATAAGATAATGTATTAAATCACGACGCCTTCTCGCGACCCTTCTGTCTTCGTGCCTTGCTGAGGGTTTCTTGCCAACTGATTGCATTTCATCTTACTCTGTAGAGGTTAACGCGAATCCTTTAAAGTTATGGTAAATCGGGCATAACATTGCTACATGTACAAAGCGAGTTGAAAAGCGATGTTGCACGTTTTGTACCTGTCTGTCCACCATTAAAAGGTGTTTACGCAACACAAACAACTCAGTAACAACGTCTTTTAAAGGACCGCCTGATCACAGTTTAACTTTAACTTAGCCCAAATCTTGCTTACGTGTTAGTAATACTTGTTGAGTCGTTACGAATGTCGAAGGTCAGCATATGTTTCCTGTCTGCCTTGGACTTTTCCCATGCCAAGTTTTCCTAGCTTATCCAAGCTTATCTTCAGAATGGCTGTCTTATTTTGTTTGATTTGTAAGGAAAAGGACACAAGTTAAGGATTCAGGTCTGGGTAAAATTCCCAACAACTTTCTTTATTGACTAGATGCTTATTTGAAAGTGCGTACCGTCAATTTTATATCATGGTCCTGCACCGGCAGAATTGTGTGCATTCTTTACTCTGAAATTGATTTTCTTCCTTAAGTGCTCATATAAACAAGGTTAACACGATCTGGTTGATGGGCGTCTTTTCGCGGCCTGCGCATACTTAAAAAAGTGATTTTATCCCTGGAAAAGTTGCGACACGTCTTTGCCATGTTTCGCCCAAATGCAGCTCGCCTGAATGAGGACTCCACCCGATATAAACTAGTGTGAAACCAATTCTTATTTTCTGTTTCACCTTTAGATGTTATCTCAACTGTGGTAACACAGTTTCTTTCGCCTGCGATTGGGAATAACAGCAGCTGGGCTCTGTGTTGGCAGGCCTCCACTCATGGCTGGGCTGGCACTACCTTCCACAACAAATGCGATGGGAAACGTCACACGATTACAATCATCAAAAAAGATCAGTACGTGTTTGGAGGATACACTGATATTCCTTGGAGTAAGAAAAACGTCCTTTTAGTCACTGAAATTGAGAATAGGACATGCCGCTTGTATAGCGCGTTTGTATTGTGGTTTATGGTCTATAGTCACTGTACTCTTCTAATCCAGTGCTACAAATACCTGAAAAATGTCTTCCCTTCTTGCTACCTCCATCGTCAGTTGAATCAATGAAAATAACCAATGTGACAGTCCTGATCTGTTTACTTCAGCAAGAAAGAAAGTGGTAGGATAAATTGACCCATCACCATGTTTACTTTTGACTTTCCAAACTTGTAGGGATTTGTCCTGATAACTGGATTCATCTACAAGGTTCCTGCTACCAATTCTCGTCAAAGAGTTTGAGCTGGACCGCTGCAAAATCTGCCTGTGAAGCTAAGGGGTCTAAGCTCGCCATGGTGACATCACAAGCCGAACAACAAGCACTTGTCTCGAAAGTATCACAAAATGTATGGATTGGTTTGCGGAGGGACCCCAAGGTCCATTCACGTTGGTTGTGGGTTGATGGGTCAAGAGCGACATATACTCACTGGCATCCTGGAGAACCGAACGACCATGGAGGTAATGAGGACTGCACACATATGTTTCCTCCTGCCGGAAAATGGAATGATGGTCCATGTTCCAGCAGTCTTCAACACCTTTGTGAAACCAATGGTAGGCGGCGGATAATTGTGTGCTTAATATTGTTAAGTTATTATATAGTTACATAAACGCGCACATGTATGACTGTGGGAAGCGTACAATGCAAAGCGTTTTATCCTTGTATTTTTTTATTTACGTTAATGATCCCAAAAATTAAAGTAAAAAAAAATGGAACAGGCTAAATATCCAACGCGCAGTCGTGGAATAATTGTTAAATATTCTAAAGGGGGTTACGTCACGTTTCCTTTTGTTATTGCTTTTCAGCGTTCCTGGATGGATACGGTTCGACTTCCACATCGTTTATCTTCTCTCTCCTGGATAAAGAAGGGCTTGCACCATTTAAGAGCATGGTGACGAATACATCATTTGCAATTTACCGTGGGTCAAGTTACGGTCCAACATTTGGTAGGGAGTATGACTTCTACATTGCTGATAATGCCAATCAGAATACTAATTCCTACACTAATTTTGGCAGCTCTTACTCTCTTCCAAATAACGTTACAGACCGTTATACAATCCTGGCTGGAGCCCGTTACTTCTCACCTGACGAAGTTGAGGTATTTTACCTCACTTGAGTTCATAGTTAAAGGAGCTATGTCTCGATTTTTTTCGCATTATGTTAAAACCTTAAAGACACATTGGAATAACAGGGAAAAAAATGAAATAATGTCTCGGTTTTATTCAAAATTACTTCAGTAATATACCTCGACTTTAGGTGAATGGCTTTGGCTTTTAATGGCCAGGATTTAAACGGATTCCAAATTGAAAAAAAAAAAATGGGCAAACTTTTTTCAATTTACTCCTGTGTTGTTAAAATTTGAGCATAAACAAATCATTGCAAATGTGCCTTTCGATGAAAATCATTTGACGTGTTTCTTTTACAGTTCTGATAATTGAGATACCGAAAATATGACAGAATACTTAGTTACAATTTTAGCTCAGCTTTGACTAGACAAAGTGTAAATGGCCATGACATAGCCCCTTTAACCTTATGATTAAGCAGCACAACCAAGGGTTGGGACCTCTAACAAGTATTAATCATACCGTGGTGAACGGCAGCAGGGTTTAGGAGCCCGGGATAATGCGGTGGGGGGAAAGAAGGGGTACGTAAGGCGGAAAGGGAAAAAACGGGAGATGGAAGGCCTAAAGGGGCGGGAAGTAAGAGAGGGATGGAGGGAAACTACACAGCAATGCTGAATATTTCGCAGGCGAAGCCAAGAAAAAAGGAGCGGAATGCAAGGAAAGCCAGGAATGCAAGTTACTGGAGAATAGAAGGTTTGATCTCCTGTCTCAAACCCCCCCCCCCCCCCCCCCCCCCCCCCCCC